CCCATGATGGAGTAATTCATGAAGAAGTCCAGCCTGTGGGAAGGACTCATGTTAGAGAAGTTTGTGGAGGATTGCCTCCCAAGGGAGGGACCACAGCCTGGAGCCTGGGAATAGTGTAAGGAATCCTGCCCTGAGCAGGAAGGAATAGCAGAGAAAGCATGTGATGAACTGACTCCCATTTCCCATCCCCCTGCGCTGCTGTGGGGGAAGAGAAAGAGAAAATTGGGAGTGAAGTTGAGCCCAGGAAGAAGGGAGGGTGCGGGGGGAAGGTGTTTTTAGATTTGGTTTTTATTTCTCATTATCCTACTCTGATTTGATTGATAATAAGTTAAACTGGTTTTCCCAAGTTGAGTCTATTTTGCCCTGTCCTTATCTCAACCCATTATAAATTTTTCCCCCTGTCCACTTGAGGAGGGGGGTGATAGAGAGGCTTTGGTGGGCACCTGGTTTCTAGCCAGTGCCAACCCATCGCAAAAATGTTGTCTTGAAGATGGAAAGAATGCAGGTGGCAGGCACCTTGCAAAACTTGGATATTTTCTCCAACTGCTTTTAAGTGTCCCACCCCTTAGAAACCCCCTTCCTCTGCCACAGCCAGAGGGGCTGGAGGCAGCTGAGGCCACAGGAGGATGAAGGCGTTACAATTTGGAGCTCTTCCAGGAAGAGCTGTCTCTTCTGCACCTGGGTCTTGGGGCACAGTCACTTAACACTTATCTTTCTGGGCTTTTAGTGCAAAATGGGTGTTCTTCTGTGGCTGTTGACTGCTTGGTACCTGCATAGACACACCTGCACTGAGTTGGTAAAGGAGAAGTGTAAGTTCCTCCTGCTCTTCTCTTTCCAAGGGTTCACGCAGGAGCTGGAAGATGGTGGTAGAACTGTTTGGAAAACGGAGTTTTGACTCAGAAAAAAAATAAAATTAAGCATTTTTATGTTGTTGTCATCTGGAATTAGAGTATAAAGACAGAATATTAAAAAGTGTCAAGGAAAGAAATTTTTCTTGGAAAAAAATGATGTGGAGGTAAAAACTTTTAGACATTTATGGTTTGAATGAAGCGTTTCAGCCTTGTGAAAGGAAATAGTAAATTGAAATGTCAACTTACAACTAAAACCATTTGTTTCAAACTGTATATTCAAACAAAAAGTGTTTTGTAAGAGCAATTCAAAGCTAAAAAACTATTCGAGACATAAACATTTTCAAACTTCTGAGGAAATCAGATTTTCTGAGAAAAACATTATCTGGAAATCACTCAGCTACCTCTAGGTTGTGAATTGCATGGTGCCAGATTTATAAGCAAATGGCCCCTGTGCTGCTCATTAGCTCGAGTGTGCATGAGGGGAACTGCTGGGTTTGGGCTTCCTTGTCACCTGCTGCACATGTACCTGCTTCCTGGCCACGTTCTGCCAAATTGTGCTGCAATCACCAAGCATTTTTAATAGTAAGTTTCCTTCCAGCCTGGGTCATTCCGACCAAATAGATTTTGGAGTGACTGCAAGTGCACAAATGCTGTCAGGAGACTTTAAGCTTTGAAGAAAAGCACCGTGCAGAGGCACTAGCCTTTCCACCTAGCTCAGCTGTGATCCCAGGTGCCACACAGACATGGAACAAAGTTACACACCGTGTGTTCTTCGGTGGTGAAGCTGGCATAGAAAATTCCTGCCTATGCTCCCTCTCCTTCCTCTCCAGCTCTGCGTTTGCCCTATAGGCCCTGCTTAGCAAAGATGCACCGAGTTGAAAGCAGGTCAGTGATTCAGAGGTTGCTTCAGGGCTGGCAGAGAGCAGGGCTCTGCGATAGCTGTTTCAGCCCAGCTGAGGGGATGGCAAAGCTTGAGCTGCCCCCTCTGAGGCGGCATCACCTGCTTGTGCAGGAGCTGCATGGACTATGAGGAGCTCACCCCGTGGATGTGGTCCTGGTGTGAGAGTAAAATGGGATGGCAGGTTTGGTCCCACTCCATGTGACCAAATGTTTACTGCAGTGCTTGTCTGATAAAAGCCTTGGTTTCAGCTCCACACCCCTGAACACCACGTCTACACAACTTTTGAATACCTCCAGGGATGGTGACACAACCACTTCCCCGGGCAGCTGGTCCAATGCCTGACAACCCTTCCAGTAAAGTAATTTTTCCTTATATCCAGTCTAAACCTCCCCTGGCACAACTTGAGGCCATTTCCTCTTGTTCTATCACTTGTTCTATCACTTGATCCATCACTTTTTACTTGGCAACTTGTTACATAGGATTATAGCTACTTTTTCTGTGGCTTTTCCTTGCTATTCTTTATATATCTGTCTAGTATTGCTTAGAAAGCCTTTGCACATCTTTTACTTCTACATGTGAGCTTGCAGAACAGCAGATATGAAGACTCCAATTGTATTCTCACCTCCGCTGGAGACAATCAAGTTAAAAACTGTTGAAGTTAAGGGATTTAAACTGATACAAACCTGGTTTGAAGACAGAATAAGCTTAGAACTATGAAGCAAATACGTGTTTTCAATAGTTCAGCCCAGCTGAGGGGATGGCAAAGCTTGAGCTGCCCCCTCTGAGGCGGCATCACCTGCTTGTGCAGGAGCTGCATGGACTATGAGGAGCTCACCCCGTGGATGTGGTCCTGGTGTGAGAGTAAAATGGGATGGCAGGTTTGGTCCCACTCCATGTGACCAAATGTTTACTGCAGTGCTTGTCTGATAAAAGCCTTGGTTTCAGCTCCACACCCCTGAACACCACGTCTACACAACTTTTGAATACCTCCAGGGATGGTGACACAACCACTTCCCCGGGCAGCTGGTCCAATGCCTGACAACCCTTCCAGTAAAGTAATTTTTCCTTATATCCAGTCTAAACCTCCCCTGGCACAACTTGAGGCCATTTCCTCTTGTTCTATCACTTGTTCTATCACTTGATCCATCACTTTTTACTTGGCAACTTGTTACATAGGATTATAGCTACTTTTTCTGTGGCTTTTCCTTGCTATTCTTTATATATCTGTCTAGTATTGCTTAGAAAGCCTTTGCACATCTTTTACTTCTACATGTGAGCTTGCAGAACAGCAGATATGAAGACTCCAATTGTATTCTCACCTCCGCTGGAGACAATCAAGTTAAAAACTGTTGAAGTTAAGGGATTTAAACTGATACAAACCTGGTTTGAAGACAGAATAAGCTTAGAACTATGAAGCAAATACGTGTTTTCAATAGTAAGGGACAACCATTGCAAAGGCACAGAGTTAAAAATATGAAGTCCTAATTAAGGTGTCAAATTTAAAAGGAAAATTGATTTGGTCTTTTGGGCAAGTTAGGTTGCATGATCTCCATTAATTAGAATACACACAGTTTAAACTAACAGACAACTAAAGAAAAGATTAGTGCCATTACTATTTTATTTATTACACCAATCTTTGCAAAATGGGTTATTCTACCATTGTTACAGTTTGTTTACCTTCTGCATCATATTCACAGCTTAATGAAAATTGCCCAACAAAGTTTCTTTCCCAAATGAAATGCCAAAGTACATGTGACACAAGTTTGGGACCATATGAAATATTTAAAGTCGTATCTTCTGCCTGCAGTGTCCAGTTTTGCCTAAATACGCTTGGTGTTGTTCTGTGACAGTGGGATCGGTTTATCAGCATCTTTGTTGAGCTGCACAAAATTTGTAGCCCAATGTTTGATGGATATCAGAGGATGCACAGCTTACATCATATAACCCTTCTTTCTGTTTGGAGGTATCTCGTTTTAAAATTGGATTAATCTTTCTTGCCTTCCTTTTCTCACTCGCTATTTCTGTCCATCTTTGTTTCTGTCCTGCCCTTTCATATACTTTCTTCTGATGCTCTGTGGGTGTTTTATTTATGCAAAATTTAATCTAAGAATCTCTGGTTTTTTCCCCAGCCTGGTTTGGTATGGTGGAGATAGAGCTGGAAGATTTACTTCTGTAGTTTTAGGTGTGTGTCTGAGTTGGATAAAGTTCTTCTTACTTGTCTTGTGGCAAAAAAGAGTTGGGTTTTCTTTAGACTGCCTTATACTTCTCACAGTGAGTGTTTGCTGTTGGGACATGGGGAAGGCTGGTGGTTTTGAACCATTGACTAAAACCAGAGGGCAGATATTTGTATGTTGCTGTGATGCCCCCAGCCAGGAAATCTTTCTATCCAGGCTTTCTCTCGGGGCAGCTTGTCCCAGCCTGGGGAAAGGTGGCAGCTTGGGAGAGTCAGTCATCAGGAGTTCAGAGCCCTCTTTATCAGGGTACCACCATGTTGGGATGTAAATATTGTCATCTACTGCCTTCAGAAGGTCTTTAAACCTCATGTCCTGATGAGGCAAAGAACTCCTGGTAGTAATTCTGTTTTCCAATAGGGATGAGGGAGGCACTTTGCTTATACACATCTTTGCTTGGACATTTGAAGAGTGAGGTTGGTTATTTGCTGGTGTGGATGGTGATTTCTCATGAGGACATGGCTTTCTGGCTTCAGTCAAGTCTTCATAATCATTCAGATTCTCCTGAAAGTGCAAAAGTGGCTGACACATGGAGTCACATGGTGCACTTTTGCTTGATGACTTAGGAGGTCCAAGGTGAACCAACTCTCTACCTGCAAACTTGGAAACTAAATAGAATACACAGTAAGTGAGATCAGCTTCTGCTGGAATGGTATTTTCAAGAAGAAAATAACATGTTAATATCAAAACAGCTTCACCCAACAATACAAATGCCACTACTTGTCAAGGCACAAATAAAAGTAAATCTTGACATAGAATGAAATTTTGCACTAAGGGTTTAGAGCAAATAGTGACCTTGAGGTAAGTAATTGGCAATTTTTGGCTTGGGTGAACAGTCTTAAATGAGCATCTCAGCATAAAGTTGCCTGGCTAAATTTTAGTGGCTATTATTAAAAATATCAAAGTGGAAGAATATTTCTATGGCATTTTCAGGAACCGTGTTCACATGTTTACCCAGCCAGATACCCCAGTCCCCTTTCAGACTTGGATGCCAAGACTGTATTTCAGAACAAGTACCTTCTGGCAAATTTTCTTGGTTTTCCAGTGTAATTGCAATCTCATCTTCTTGAATAGCATCTGGCATTGCCAGGTTTAGTACAGAAGGAAATATCTTAATGTGATAATTCCTGAGGTTTTCTAGAGTGTCCATTTCAGATTTTTGGGAAATCTGAATTTCTGACTCCTTATTCAAACATTTATCGAGATTAATGTCGCTTTTTTCAACTTCATTTTCCCTCTGCAAAAATGATCAGACACCAATTGATTAGTATAGAACCAAAAAGTAGCTTGAACTTTGAAGGATATCACAGTATAGCATGGGCAACAGGAAATCCTGTTTTCACACAAGCCTTAGTTCCACACACCAACTTTTCATTTCAGCAAACCCCATGCCAGAGGTTACTCCTGAAACCCAGCTGCACATGAGCTGGCAGAACCTGCCTTTTACCACACAGACCATAGGGAGCAAGTTTTCATGAGTACTGACTGGAGTTTCTCTCTTTGGAGAGCCCATAGCAGTTCCTTCAAAGCTGTTGGCTCACAGAGTCTGCTATTAGATGTCTAAGGGAGACCAGGGTCCCACAGAGCTCATGCTGCAGAGCAAAAACATTACAGGATGCTGTGAGCCATTCCCTGATCCAGGAGGAAGATGAGGGTCTCTTGTTGTCTGCTGTGAGGAAAGGCAGACAGCACAAGGCTAGCCCATTCCTGGGAAGGCTTTGCAGTGGGATTGCAGCAGGAAGACCTCCACTGAGTTGTGGTAACAGGACTGAGCATCCTGACACAAGTATGGGTCCTAGAACCCTCTCCTGCTGCACTACGTTACTCCTATGTGCATCCTACATACATGTGTGTGGGGGGTGTTCTCATATTTAGGACACTTGCCTGTCCCATGATCCAACTTTTGAGAGTCCTCAGTATGGTAGCCTCATGCATGCTGAGTTTCAGGTATCAAAATCTTGTGAAAATGCAAGGGCTGAACTATGAAATCAATCCCCTACTACAGTACCAAGTCCCACATGCTGCTTCTGCCAAAGACCATCTTCTTTCAGGTCTGGTACTCCTGAAATGAAATTTCTTAAATGTGTTGACTACCTACATGGGTATTCCAGTTCAACACCAAGCCTTTTTTGCACATTCTCTATATCATCTTTGACAGACCCACTTTGCTGTTATGCAGGTGCCACTTCAAGGATTATCTGCAGTGAGTTTTGATCTTTTCACTGCCATCCCCACATAATACAAACTTTTGGCTTCCACAGTCAGAGAAGTAATTTGTTTTACTATGGTATATTCATCTTCTGCTCTTTGCATTGCAAAGTACTCCCCTTGTGAAAAATATGTTTTTAATCTAACGTGCCATTATAAAAAGTGGGTGTATTTTGTGAAGAAAAGGCACTTTTGAAAAACTGCATGTATTTTGTGAGTTAGCAAAAATGTCTGGAAAAATTTGAAGGCCTCCAAACCTCAAACTTGCGGGGTTACTCCCTCTTCCCTTCATATCTGCAGTATCCAATCACAATTAAGGAAATTATTTTTAAAGTATTTACGAAAAGAAACACAAGATGTTTAAGTTGACAACACATTGCTAAAACCACGCTAGATCAATTGGGAATTGGAGATGTCATAAGCATTTTAGGCTATGCAATCAAATAGTCTCTCAGGATTTTACAAACTGCTAGTTAAGAAAACAAATTTTCATCTTACATTTTGCAAGCTGTCACCTTATATACAGTATATCAGAAAACTTGCCATGACTGGTTTTACTGCCAGACCTCTTAAGAGCTAATTGGTTAAGCACCTGGGCAGGAAGCTTTTTGGCAGAAATGCTATTTTCTGCAAGGACTAGCTATAAAGTTCTGGATGGCAAATTGTAATCATTAAGGCTCCCTCTTCTACAACAGAACACATAAAACGTAAATACATTGCTTGGAGAAATTACGATGCATAAAAGGACAGCCTGTGTTTTAAGTTTATCCAATGACTTACGGCTCAAATTTGAACATGGAAAGGATCTTACGGTATTTTCAGGGTCAAGCTTTCAGTAGACTTCTCTAATTGCACCCAGAAAAATGAGAATCACATCTGTTCTCATCCACCAAAACTATTATTTGCATGTAGAAATGTTAACTGGTGTATACAAGGAATTGTAAATGCAATTACTTGTGCTGGTTTTTCAAACACGGGGGGGCTTGTACATGAAAAATAATTTCCACAGGCTTTTTTGCAGCTCCAAATTAGAAGGTCTACTGAAAATTTGTCCTTAGGAAATTGTATATTCTTTGGTGTTGTGTGAAAAATCATAGTGTAGTCTGCTGCCTGGAATGAGTCGAATGCAGTGGTTTATGAATATGTGTTGGAATTCCAAACAATGTTTTGGGCTGATTGTCTGAGTGGAATTTTTTCTTGCATATTATTAATGAACATTGTCACGAATGCAAGTATTTTCTTGTTTGTGTTAATATTTGGTATGTTTGGTTCTTTTGGGGCAGAATTTTCAGAAGACTAAGATGCCAACATTCTATACAACCCACTTGATGGGAGGTTTTTAATTAAAAAAAAATAAATCCTAGAGTGTTTTTTTATTTTACCATAAATTTAGTTCTTTCTAAATATTAGCTATGTGTAAATATCTCTTTTCATAGGAAGACAGGATTACCCAATATCTTCTACAGTCCTAGAAAGAATAATGTAAATGAGTGGCAATTTATTTTCGGGGAACTTCGTTTTAGCTGTGACTGTTAGTTGTGATTTATTTGCTTCATTGATTTAGATTTAAATTTGCACTCAATTTGATGCAAATGCTAATTTTTGTGCTTCAGTTTTAAGCACACAAGTTGTCTTGTTGAGCTCAGTGAAACTATTCATATACTTAAAGTTAAAGCAGATGCATATATCTGCAAATCTGTAGAGCTGAAAGGAAATGATGTGATTTAATGATGGATCACACACTGCTAGCAATAAATAGCAAATAGTTGGCATTGGACAGAATAGAAAGATCATCTATCCATGTGTTTTGAAATATCCTTGGCATAATTTGTAATACAAAAATCAAATACCCATGCTGTTGTAATGAAGCTCCAGCAACATTATCAGGATCTCAACAAGAAGATATATTTAAAAAAAAGAAAAAAAAGAAAAAAGTGGGAAATTTCCCCCTTGCACTCTCTTAAAAATCTTTATGCTTCTTCTCAGAGTCAGCCCTCTGTGGCCGGGTGGTCAGAGACGTGCATTGTAGCCTGCCAAAGAGGTGGTTGAATTTGGCCTCTTTTAGACCAAAGCAGAGAATCCTCCCTCCAAGATAATGCCCTGCCAGCTGCCTCCTCCTAGAGCCAGGCCAGCGCAGCGTGGGCTCAGCTCCAGGGGAGCTGGGGGCTGCTCTTGGCTGTGCCTCTGCCCAAAAACGTTGTGCCACCCGTGTGGGGCTCTGCCTTGGGATCCAAGAGATGCATTCTTCTCTTTTCCCTATATACTTCGCATATGCTCAGGGCTAAGTTTTGCCATTGTGTAAGCATGTGCATAAAGCAGCTTTTGCTGAAGAACAGGCCAGAGGGAAAAGAAGGGCATTGAGTAAGAAATCCCAATTTGATTTCTTAGCCAGCCTTTCCCCCTCTACTCCCTTTTTTTTTTTTTCTTTCTTTTTTTTTTTTTTTTTTTTTTTCCCCCACAACCCCCCTTTTTTGGGGATGGGA